CTGATGACAGTTCCCCAACTGTTTTCTGTGATGTTGTTTTTCCTTTCTAGGCCCTTGTTTGGAAACTTTCTCCATTTTGTGATCTATCATGAATCTTTGCTACTTTTGTTATCTTCATAGTTCTGCATTTATGAGAACAATATTTTCTCCAACCCCCTATGAAGAAAGATCTTTGAAAATTATCTGATGCTTTTGCTTCAGTGACTTTCAGGCCTCCAGGAGGGATACCTGTATCTCTTCATCTTGGGCCATCAGTATTATGCAAATCAAGTTCACATGTAAATTAAAAAAACTATTTGGCTGGATCTCTATGACTGGAGAAAGAGGACAACCAAATTGCCTTTCTCCATATCCACTAACCTCTGTCTTCACTACCTTCTCTGAGGTATGTTTAACTGAAATCTAACCTGGTATTCATGGAATATATGGAATGACAATTCTCACTTTCCTGAAGAAGACACTGAGATTGTAAAGCAGGTAAAATCCTCAGGGCTTAGAGACAATATGGGAAAATGGTCCTTCCTATGTGTCCTACACCTCCTCTTAAACATCTAGGGGGTCTTTGTTCTTGCATTTTTTTTGTTCCATAAGAGGGTCAGGACAGGCGAGAGCAAGTAGTCTATCTTCATTAGGACTCTAGGGCATTAGAGCAGTTCTTTTGCCATCAGTAAACTTTGGGAGGGAGTGCAGATAACACCTCATAAGCCATGGACACAGACGCATTAATACATAGGCATTTCTTTGTTCTGTCATCCAAGGGGCCCTGTAAATGATATCTGGGAACAAACACATGTCACAACTGAATCTTGTTTTAAAATACTTTTTCTTTTTAAATTAATTTTTATTTAAATTAAGGTATGTAAAACACTTTTTGAATAAAAGGAAATAAAAGATTTTTGGAAGTTGGCTGTTTCAAGGCTACTGTTAAGTAATAGTTGAGTCAAAGAAGAAATTTAAAGTTAATTTACAGTTATTTTGAATTGAAGGAAAACGAGATAACATGGGAAATGAGTCACATGACACTGATAGGCTACATAAAGAGGTGTTTATAGTGACACACACACACACACACACACATACACACAGTAACAAAATTATTTTCTTCAAGATTTTAACTAAAGCTCCACTAGAAAATACTCCTACAGTGAGCAGAATGTATAAAAGCATTGGAGGGTGAAGCAGATAAAAGGAGATCAGAGACAAAATGAAATAATTAGAAAATAAGTAAAACCCAGAAACGAATAGAAGTAATTAAAAGATGATTCTTTGAAAATGTATATTTAATAAAACTGTTAGGCAGATTATCAAGAGAAAATGAGGTGTGCCACTAATGAAGAGAGTTGGGATTTAGTGAGAATATCACTCTACAGTCTACTGATAGCATGACTGAAAAAGCTGGACCATTCCCGTTGACAGACTGGTAACTTCAAACCCTCTGAATGTGAGATCCAGTTAGGAGGCCTGGGAAGGCTATGGGACCTCTAACAGTGGAGCCAGTATTTATCCCAAGTGCACAAATGGATTTTGGGAGCCCTTTCCCTATGGAGGGATACTATTTCACCCCAGATACACGGAGGAGGACTTAAGCCCTCCCCCAAATGATGTGACAGACTTTGCTGATCCCCTATGGAAGGCCTCACCATCCTTGGGGAGTAGGCCGGGGTGGGTTGGAGGGTTGGTAGGGGGCACGGGAGGAGAGAGGGAGAGGGAATGGGGGGGATTGATATGTAAAATGATTGTAAATTTTTAAAAAAGAAATATACAAATTCCTTGACTACAATGCAAAACTACTTATCATTCTCAAGAAGCAGATAACTTGAAGTGTTCTATACATGTAAGAAATTGAATAACAAGTTAAAAGCTTCCTGAAACAGTATATGCATCATTAGAAATTTTCATGGGTAAATTTATTCTAACACTTGATAAAGAAATAACAGTGATTTTTACATAAAACACCATTGAATGCTGAAGAAGAGAGAATGCTTTCAATGTTTTTTTATGATTCAGATACTAACCTGTTATTTAACCAGTTGGATTTACACTGATATTCTTTTAGATATTGTCTTCATTACTGTTCTATTTCTGTGAAGAGACACCATGACCAAGCCAACTCTTACAAAGAAAGCAGTTCACTGGTGCTTGCTTGCAGGTTTTTTAAAGGACTAGTCCATCATCATGACAGAAGGAAGCATGGTGGTAGGCAGGTGGTCATGGGACTGATAGCTTATATCCTGATCTATAGGCACGAGAGAGAGAGAGAGAAAGAGAGAGAGAGAGAGAGAGAGAGAGAGAGAGAGAGAGAGAGAGAGAGAGAGAGAGAGAGAGAATGTTTTCAAATAGGGTCGATTCTCATTTAAACCACTACAGGCACAGATACAGAAATTCAGAAGAAGAAGATCAGTTTAAAGTTTATAACACAAGTGAAATTTATTTCACATTGCAACGTGTATTTAAAGTTTTTAGATCAAACTATGCAATTTACAACAGAAAAATTCAAGCAACAATTGTAATCCTTTCCATGCACTAAGGAAATAAAAGTATGCTAGACACTCATAATATAAAATATATGGACCAAGTGTTTTTTTCTTTTATAACAATTTGACAAAACCCAAAATATATATTGATTTATTTTACTGTTAAGGATTGAACCACTATTGGCATAGAACCAAATATCCTCAGAATCTAAGAGATGCAACACCCCCAAATATGATAAACAGATTCTGCAAGAATTCTGAAACTTTCATTATGTTTTTAAACAAAGAAAAAATGCAAGAAAATTGTTTTTAATTGTTTCCTTTTTTGTTTATAATTCTTATGGATTATCTACCCAATAGCAGGGAGAAAAAACAAAAGTATAATTTCTCATTTTGCAAGAAAAATGTAATTCCACCCTTACTAAATATTGTCATGATTGCCTGTAGAAAATGCAATGGGATTCACAATTTATTTTATAAATTCTAGATTAGTGTGTCAAGGAACAAAAGAGAATATCAGTGCCCTAATATTACTGATGTGCTTTATACATGTGTATATTAGTTACAGCAAAACTAAGAGTTTAAAGCTATTTATAATATAGTCCTACATTATGCATTGTACTATTCAACCAGGAATGAAATAATGATAAATCTGACAAAGGATATTACGTTTTTAATGAACACTAGAACTTGAGTTAAGATGTGTTTTCATTAGTATGCACATTCCCCTTTATGGGAGCTAAAACAATCCCTATTAGAATATTAACAGTGGTTTCTATAGGAGAAATTAACAAGCACATTCTAAAATTCATATGGTGGCAAACAACCTCGATTTTCCACATGGATTTTGAAAAAGAGAGAAAGTGAACAGATTGATTTTTAAGTTCTGAGACCATCTATTTTCAAGATTTATTATACACTAATCAAGACTTGACTATGGGACTCAAGACAACAATTAGATCAATGGAAGTCAGTAAATAACAAGGTTATTATTATTTGAATGAATATGTACAATAGATTTTGACAAAATCAAAATAGCAATTCACTAGGAAAGTGGTGTTTGAACCTTTCAGTACCCTTGTCTTTAAAACTGATTTTTATTGTACAATATGGGGAAATTAATTCAAAAAAGTATCTTCAAACTAAGTATGAAACCTCAAGAAATGTTAGTAAAAAACTTTGTGCTTTTTAGTTGAAGTAAGACACTTTAGATGCAGTTCAAATGTTTGACAGGACCAAACAAGTTGATGTATTGGACTTTAGTTTAAACGTTGTAATTTAGTAGAAATTAAAAAGTGGAATACTTAACTGCAATTAGCTAACCATGCCATACATCTAAGTTGCTATAACAATACAACAATCATGCAACAGATTTTAAATCTTTTGTAAAGCTGCAACCAGGAAACACCCTGAAAATACATCCTTAGGTGAATGAATGCATATATTATAGGTCATCTATGAACATGAGATACCAGTTCATAACAAAGAGGAATGAGTATGCCTACATGATCTTCAAAATAACTACTGTTAGTTAGCAAAGTCATGCAAAATGTAGTATATTTAAATATGAAGGGACAGATAGCTGAGCTGTTGTTGGTTGAGGATGTTGTGCTATCTTTTCTGTGATCATCATATTTTAGTGCAATTACCTATGTTCCTTATATACATGCTATTTCCTTTGTGACAAGCAGTGATACAAAACGTTCAACTCTCCGTCTCAGTATTCTTCATCTTCCCGCATTGTTCAGTAAGAGTGAGCCAAGTGGCCATTTCTAACTGTGGTGCAGTTTCTTTTCTGATAAAGGCTGTATAGAAGCAGCCCTGTGCTACCATTGCACTGTCTACTGAGTGCTAACTCTAAGATTTGTCCAAACAATTGCTATCTGAATCCGTTTATTTTTCTCCTAGTCTCATTGCAAGTTGATATCAGACCAGATGGCTTTCTTTCTAGTGATCAAGTTTATCTTATTAATCATTTTGATGCTTAACACTTTCTCAGGTAAGTATTTATTTCTTTGTCATTGAAAAACCTTTGATCATTCAGTCAGTGCAATAATTGGGCCATGCCAGAGTAAAGGAGCCACCTGGAAATGACAGAGAGGATCGCAAGGGTAATTTTTTTTCTTAATGTAAGACAGTTTATGGAAAAAACATTGATCCCTTTTAAATAGTACTAAATTAGATTTGGTACAATGAATTTACTTGGTGTCCTGTTCTAAGGCTGAAGACCTTCATAATGGTCACTGCTCTCTTCCAACTTCAGCTTCCTCATCTTTAAAGTAATGACAGTTTTGACAGTCATCCTAGAATTATACAAACTACTGTCACAGAATTTATGACATCATCCAGACTTATAGCAGGCATACACATATGTTTTATGTTGCCATGTAATCACTTCTGTCTTCTGTGTTTATGTGTTATAGGATTATAGAGAATCATGGTTGTAATTAAATGCCACATTTTAATTTTAAAAGTCCAATAGTCATTATTGTTGTTTTACTGTTTTCCCCTATGTTCTGTTTGCAGATGCACGTTCCAAAGTTAAGTATGATGAGAAATGTAAGGTGAGCTTTCATTTGGATGATTAAAGTCTTCACACTTCATAGTACCAAAAAGATTGACACAAGATATGTTGATTTAAGACAAACAAAACAAAACCCCTCAACATTTTAATTTGTGAATTTGTGATGACATCAGAGCACATTACTGTAAATGCTACATTCTCTATCGATGCAGTGTTAAGTATGAAGGAGTGTGGAGAAAACTAGTTTGAACAGGCTCAGGGTGTTTGAAGAAATGTGATATGTGATGAGGTGTTCATAAAAGGGAGAGTAAATGAACTGTATATACAACATGGGAAGCGTGGTATGGATTTTGACAAAACAGAAATGTCGTTGAATCTGAAGCACAAAGAGTTAAAAAAGTTTTAGGTGAAGATAGATTCAATGCAACTTTTGAGAACTATTGGAAGTGTCTATACCTAGATATGTATACAGGGAAATTGGGCAATTGTCATGTCAAAGGTAATAGCTGCTTGGAGTATGATAGAAGAAATGAAAGCAAAAACTGGAATTGAACTTGTGGTGTGGCCACTTTTATGAATTAATCAAAAAGAAGTTTTTGTAGAGTCTAGTTTGTATTTCAGGAGTTATTCTAATTTTTCAAATTCTGATGTTCAAATCAGAATATTCAGATATTCAAATCTAAAAGCAATTCAATTAAAATTTACACTTCATGATATTCATAGCACGTGGGAGATGAAATCTTCTAGTTCTGTCATTGTTGTTTTATTTTAAAAAATCTTTGTTTTTTTTATAGACTGACTGTTCTGGTGGAGATCAAAGACTAGATTGTACCAAAGATTACTTGCCTATTTGTGGATCAGATGACAATACCTATGATAATTATGTAGCTTTTTGCAATGAAGCAAGGTAAAAACAAATAAACTGGCAAACAAAATCCTTTACATTTACTCTTCTTAAATATTGTTGCTTTATTCAGTAATTTCATGAAAACCAGTATTGACAATAATTTAATACATTGAATGGGATTTGATTATCATTTATATGCGAGGAAATCACCATTCAGGATGGTTTCACAGTGGAATATTTTTAGAATTATTCTCACTGATCATCAAGACATATAGACATCAAAATAAGCCAAGAAAAACCATAGTCCCTGATTAATTACTTTACCTCAATACAATTTTGTTCTTCAGTTTAATTTCAGCAAAATAGTATCTTTATTACAAATATAATATATGCATACATATGAACATATATATACATACACACACATATATATACACAAACACATATGTATACAGATAGATACACAGACACACACACACACACACACACACACACACACACACACACACACACACACACTGGTTTTCCAGGTAGGGTTTCCCTGTCCTGAAACTCAGTCTGGCCTGGAACTTAGAGATCCATCTGTCTCTGCCTCCTAAGTGCTGGGGTTAAAGCATGCACCATCATCACCCAGTTTGTATTTTGTTATTTCTATCAGCAAGAAACATTAATTTTTTCTACATTTTTCCTGTTATGACTACAGATCATTCAGGAAAAATAAAATAAATGAAGACAGAATGAATCAGGAATATTTATTCATTCCTTTACTTTTTACTTAAGCTTAACATCCATGCATTTGTTTGATCACAAAATAAGCAGTGAACTGTGTCTTAATGAAAAAGCTACTAAACCATTCCAGTTAAAATTCAAGAACAGAATAAAACAGTTTTCCTTCTCGTAGAAATGATCCAATGCTACAGTTAGAATGAAAAAAATGAAAGGAAGGGGATTTGAAGCAAAAGGGAGAAACAAGGGAATTGTATTCAGCAGAGAGGCTGTTAGTAGACAAATCACAGGTCCAATGAGAAGTATCTGAGGGTCAGTCTCTGGTTCTACAAGTAGAGTGTCAAAAGGGACACTTTTCTTGGGGGCTGAATATACAGAACCTGGTTAGATTGTTAGTCAACTGCTGAAGCATATCTCATGAAAACTTGACTGAACATACAGGTCCAAAGCAAAAATTAGTACCTCTACTGAGACATAAATAACAAAATCAAGGTCAAGCCAGTGGAGTGGACCAGAAGTTATCCTCTAGATGACTGGTATGCAATGATGTCAGTTCACTCTAAGATGGATAAGGCTGCTTCTGGCTTTTACAAACCACTGTCAGGTCACGTTTGTTTTTATAGCAGCACATTGAACAAGTGTAGTCATCAGTCTACAGAAAAGGAGGTTTGAGCCAGAAAATGTGGGCCTAAGACAGGTCCTGGCCTTTAGGAGACCGATACCACCATGCTTAGTCCACCACACACAAAACTTTTACTTTGAGGAACCCTGGTGGGTTTCATATAAAATTTCTCATATAATGATCTAACCGTTTCTTTTTCTTTTTCAGGCAGCGGAATGGCCAACTTAAATTCAAACATTATTTTCAATGTTGATTCAATGAAATGGCTTTAAAAATGCAAGAAATCCTCTTGTTCTTTCTGTTTTGTTAAAGTGAGTTGAGAAGTTTCCATAACTTTTTTTTTGTGCCAGAGGATGTAGAAACTCAGCTCACACAAGTCATGATTTGTTTCTGAATTCACAAAAGAATTATTTCCTAGTTGACTTTTTAAAAAAATAAATTTCCTGTTCTGAAAATACTAGTAATTTCCTAGTATTTTGATGAATAAAAAAATTAAAATGTAAAAATGTGCTGAGTCTTGTGGATTCCCTTTCCCAGTTGCTGTGAGATCTGTTCATTGCTGACTGCACTTGGTGGATGTGGATAACGTGGTTAGTTTTTCCATGAGGAGAAGCAGCCCTTGTACAAAGCTTTAGGAAGGATGCTGATGCTAGCAAATCACTTACACTTCCAGGAACACTGTAGTTGATCAAGACGTTATGTGAAGAATGTAAGAACAGACTGAAGCTGAAGCTGTCTAACACTAAAGCTCCATCTCAGGTTAGATCACTCAAGGCAACCAGTGAACTGCATAACCTTGCCCTCTTGAAGAATCACTTCTTGTCTCCTGTTGCTGTCCTTGATTTTCTGACAGATGCTACAAAGAGAATGATTCAGCATCTTCTTAAAAGACCCCTTTGTTTGTTAATTTGCTTTCCTTTTTCTTTCTTTTGAGGAAGGCATAGAAATCTGTATGTTTTAAATTCTACTTTCATAATCATAGCCTTTATTTTTGTTGTTGCTTTGTAACAGAAACGTGAGTTAGACATAACTAAGAAAATGCCTAATGAAAACCAGGAGCTTCCCAGAGAAGAGGAAAGAGGCAAGATCTCTTGAGCAGATTGGGAACATGGGGGGAGAAGAGAGGGAACCAGGAAAAAGAGAGGGGGATAAGAGGAGGGTAGAAGACACGGGAGCAGGAAGGTTGAGTCGGGGTAAGAATAGAGGAGACCAGGATGAGAGAGATACCATAATAGTTGGGTTATTATAGCTTTGAGGAGAGAGCTGACACTAGTGAGATTTCCAGAGATATACAACTGGAAATCTAAGTAATAGCGGAGAGACTACATTAATAACCCCTACCTGATGATAAGGTTGATGACTACCTTATGTGACATCCTAGAACCTTCATCCTGTGACTGATGGAAGCAGAGACAGATAATCACAGCTAAACACTGAACTGGCCCCCTGGAATCCAGTGACAGAGTTGGAGGAGTGATGAGCTAGGTGGTCAAGACAACGCTGGTGAAACCCACAAAGACAGCTGACTGGACAAGGGGGAGCTCTTGAACCCCAGACTGATGACTAAGAGGCCAACAAGGGACTGATCCAGACTCCATGAATGTAATGTCAGTGAAGAGGCCTCAGAAATCTCTGGGGCCTTGGGTAGTAGACTGGAACTCACTATGTAGACCAGTCTGACCTTAAATTCACAGATATCTGCCTGCTTCTGCATTTCAATTACTGGGATTACAATGCCTAGCCAGCAATTGTTTCCTTAATTTTATTTTTAGATTTTTTTTAAGGTGCATGAAAATATAACCAAATTTTATGTGTTGAATTTGTATACTGAAGCCTTGTAAAGCATAGTAATTTGTTGCAGAGCTTTGTGTGTGTGGGTTTCTTCCAATTGTCTAGATATATTATTGTGTCTTTTGTGAGCACAAGCTAATTTCATTTGTTTGTGCAATTTGGATGCCTTCATTTCTTGTCTTATTTAAGGAATCTACCTGGAGCTTCTGTTACTATATCCAATAGAACTTGTGAATGTAGGCATCCCACCTCATTTCTGACGAGAGAGGAAAGTCTTTAGGCTTTTACTCTTAGTAAGATTAAGTTAGCTGTTTTTTTTCTTATAATATGTTGAGTGATTTTACCAAATGTTATACCATACTTTTTAAAATATCATCTAAAATCATTTAAAATGTCATCATTTAAAAATCATGCCTTTCTTTCTTTTCATAATATGTATATCACATTATTTCCATGTTGAACAATTTTTGCATCACAACAACATTCTAAATGGCAATGGTGCATAAACTTTATATTTTAGGCTATATTTACTTGTTTAATTGCATGTGTGTGTGTGTGTGTGTGTGTGTGTGTGTGTGTGTGTGTGTGTGTGTGATGTGAGTATGCTACAGTTCATTTGTGGGGATCAGAGGAAAACTTGTGGAGCTAGCTTTCACTTTTCATCATATGGGTCCTGGAGATCAAATGTGGATTTTCAGGTGTGGTGGCAAGAACCTTTACTTTCTGAGCCATCTTAATAGGCCTAATCCTTTCAGTATGCTGGTGAATGTGGGGTCCTATTATGTCAGCAATGGTTATGTGTGTCAACACTTACAATGGATGCTGGTCTGAGGTTTCTGTAGCTGGGTCTTTGTTTATCATCACCATCAGGGTAGTACTGGCTTCATAGAGTGAGTTGTCAAGTGCTTTTCTGTGAGTATCCTTTGGATGAGTCTGAGAAAGATTAATATTAATTCTACTTTAAATGCTTCATGTAATTCCCTAGGGAAGCCATCTGATTTGGAAGTTTTTGATTAGTGTCCCAATCTTACCATCTCTAGGTTTGGTCATGTTCCTTCTTAGACAATAATGCATTTTTATGATTTTGTCTACTTCAGTTAGGTCCCTCAACTTGTCTACATACACTTGCTCATAGTAGAGTTTCACTGAGACTTCTTTAACACTACCAGAAATTTCTAGAATCAAGGTTCCCAAAGTGAAAACTCTTTATATTTAGCAGGCAATCCTGAAATTCTTACATGTTGGTTCAGGTATTGAAGGAAAGACAATATTTACAAGGTTTTGAAGTTTGTGAAGGAGAGGGATCAAAGATGCTGATAATGTTTGGGAAAGTACACATAAAAGTCCAGAAACCAGAAGCTACTTTTGAATTGATTTTATTTGCAGTAAATGGAACAAGCTCAAAAATAATGTAGACTCTTTTAGCCATAGAACACCATGCTGGCTTCACACTTGAACTAGCCAGGAAATCCAGAATTGCAAGTGGAGTTTGAGGGTATAGATAATTTGCTTCATATGAACATCTAGCATTTCCCCTCGTGTTTGAGAGTCAACTTCCCGTTACTCAGCCTGAAAAAGCAATGAGATAAATCAAGTCATTGGGGCAACACCGTGAAGAAAAATGTGATTATTTGAAATCAGTCAGAAGAGCGGGCTTAGCTGCTGTGTTCTATGACCTCCTTCACTGTTCTGCAGATCTATGTGCTTTGCTTCTGCTACCACTCCTCTCTCGATGAGGCATTTACCAATAATAGCAGAGAATTAGTTTCTAAGGTCTTTTGTAACAACAGATGCTAATGGGGAGTACAATGTTAACAGTTAAGTAATCCCCAGAGACCACAATGGTTGAAAACAAGGGAAACATTCTTAACTTGCTGAACAAAGATTCTGAAAAGTTACTTTGTAACTCTTTTTTTTAATCATTTTTTATTTTAATTTTAAATAGCTTGTTTTACATGTCAATCCCAGTTCCCTCTCCCTCCCCTCCTCCCGCACTCCCCTTCCCCCCTCCCTCCCACCCTATTGCCAAATCCTTCCACATAGGGGATATCTAGAGTCTGTCATTTTACTCTTGGTAGGGTCAAGGCACTCCCCTAAGAGTCCAGGCTGAGAGAGCATCTCTCTATGTGCTATAGGCACATGAAGACAGTTTGTATACCAGGGATAGACACTGATCCACAGCTCAGGGCCCCATAGGTTGCCCAGGTCTTCTCACTGACACTCACATTTGGGGGGTCCTGTAACTCTTAATCAGTTGTCACAATTTCAAAAGCTTTTTGTTGATTTCTATTTATTTTATTCTTTTTATGTGTATGGGAGTGCAGATGTGTGCCATCACACATATGCAAAGATCAGAGGACACATTTGCAGGATTAACTTCTCTTCTTTTACCATGTGGGTCCCTAGGATGATAATCATACTGTCAATCTAGGAGGCAAGAATGTTTACCCAATGAGCCATCCAACAATTACAATTTCTAAGTGGCATAAATAATTTTGTGTCTTGTAGAGGTATATAGCACTATGTGGTTCATATGGATCACCAAATCCAGTCTTTAGTATTATCACAATTAAAATATTATTTTAAGCGACAATAACTAAGGGCTTCTCAGTGTTTATTTTTTGATACGTTTTATTTCTCTCATATTTTAAACACTAACGTTCAAAGAATCAGGGATTTCTGAGTTTAGTTCATTGTTTTACTTCCAAATATTAAAGCACTGTCTGGTACTATTAAGCTATTAAGCAATATTTGGAAAATCCACAACTGAAAGTAATTTTATTCTACCGTGATTAGATAAATAAACACCATTCCCCCCAATACTTAATGGAATACGCAGTTCAATGATTAGGGGCTAAAGATGGGCCCCAGTAGCTAAGAGAGCTTGCTTTTCTTCCAGAGGACCAGAAATTGGTTCCCAGCATTCACACTGAGTGGCTCACAACTTCTAAGTGGCATAAATAACATATTATCTCCAGCTCTAGGGGATCTGACAACCTCTTTTGGTCTCCTTAGACATTCACACCTGTAAGTTAAAAAAATTCTGTATCTTTTAAGCATTTCCTTAGACAAATAATAGCTAGGACATTGTTTAGAGAAGACTGTATCGACAGGGTATTCTCTTCTCCATGACTGAAAAGGAGAACAAAAGATTATTACCTCTTTCCTTCCTTAAATACACACGAGTTCCCGTATGTTTTTCCATCAGAACCACAGACTGGTTTGTAAACTGCATCACAACTACTAGCTGGGCTCTTGTTGACCATGCTTCCCGCCTGCAAAAATAGGAGAGAACATCAGGTAAGGACAGTGTGATGAGTTTGAGTCAAACATCACCAAGGAAAACACTAATTGCTCATTTATTATTGAAAAGCATTATTCTGCATTACTGTATCAATCTTATGATTCCCTTAATATATACAATAAATCTATATATC